GTATTTGACGTAGAGATATAAACTGCTATACATGTCTGTATTTGGTGTAGACATATAAACTGCTATACATGTCTGTATTTGGTGTAGACATATAAACTGCTATACCTGTCTGTATTTGAAGTAGACATATAAATTGCTATACATCTCTGTATTTGATGTATACATATAAATTGCTATACATGTCTGTAGTTGATGTAGACATATAAACTGCTATACACCTCTGTATTTGACGTGGGCATATAAACTGACATGCATCTCTGTTGTTGATGTAGACATATAAACTGCTATACATCTCTGCATTTGGCGTGGGCATATATAAATTGCTATTCCTCTCTGTATTTGACGAGGGCATATTAACTGCTATGCATTTCTGTATTTGACGTGGGCACATATAATTTGCTATACATCTCTGTATTTGATATAAACTGATATGAATGTCTGTATTTGACGTGGGCATACAAATATCCAATTTCCAGATGTTTTGCTATTTGATTCCCCCGAAGAATGTTACAATTAACCCCACACCACCTGTCATTTCAAATCCCCCCCCCCCCCCCCATATCATTTATTAATAGTGGAACAGCGTCAGTTCACCATCTAATCCAAGAAGTGGTATTAAAAGTATACTCAAATAATGCTCCCTTTCCCTTGTCATAGATTTAACCTCGAAAGTTTTAACAATATCTAAAATTTAACTTTTATGTCTGATAAACATGTTTTGCTTCATTTAGGCTACAATTGAGTTCTTGACGAAAGTCCACCTTCTTCGTTTTTTCTATTATTTTAACATCGTCGAGTAAGAGTATGACCTCCAGAACGAAATAGCTACTTGCATACCTTTATATCTAGATACCATAAGTTATGATTTTTTTTTTTACCAGGATTTGATTTGATTTCAGGTTGGTTAAACATTGAAAGGTCATGATGTCATAATTATGTCGTGATTTCGATATAATTTTGCTACCAAGCCCCCGTTTCACTACGGTACAATACATGATGACGTAAGTCACGCTAGGCCAAAATAAATCGTCTTTCACTGTCACTTTTGTCAAAATGGCATTATCCTCAAGAAAACATAACTGGTTCAATTATGAAATATCGGCATTTTTCGAAGCTGTTATGAAAATTTTAAATACAATTCGCGCCATGTTCAATCCTGGGGTGATCAGTATAAGCAAACACGAAGCATGGTCGGTGGAAATGGAAGACTATTGTATAAAGTTCCCCAGTAGAAAACGCGACATTCGAGCACAATTTGGAGTAAGGATGGGTATTTACCATCTCGGAAGTCGTTTACTCATTATTTCAAAACCAATACTTTTATATTTCAGGCCACGGATACTTATCAAACAAGCATCCTTGCTTCCTAGTAAACCTTCATCAAAACAAGCATCCTTGCTTCCTAGTAAACCTTCATTAAAACAAGCATCCTTGCCTCCTAGTAAAGCTTCACCAAAGCAAGCATCCTTGCCTCCTAGTAAACCTTCACCAAAGCAAGCATCCTTGCTTCCTAGTAAATCTTCACCAAAGCAAGCATCCTTGCCACCAAGTAAACCTTCACCAAAGCAAGCATCCTTGCTTCCTAGTAAATCTTCTCCAAAAAAAGGATCTTTGCCTTCAAGTAAACCTTTAACAAGCGAACAAATTGCCTGGAAGTCCCATTTTATATATAAAGCTCCCACGAACACGAAAGTGGTCAGCTTAACATATAACTGTCCGACTTGTCGACTGCCATGTTCAAACGTGTCCGAGGACATTTCAAAAACATGCAAAGGAAGGGAGTGTCTTTGTAATAGATTAAGCCCAGTTATAACTTTCCCTAACTTCAAAGACAACTCAGAATATTCTAATGATTTTATGTTGGAAGCAGAAAAGGAAAGTCTTCATACTAAACCTGTTACAGATCTGAATACATTGCCAAGTATTACCAAGACTCAAGTCAAACTGTTACGAAGTGGATATTCTTATAAAGTCGGAGACAAAATTAGCATTATAGTGTCACTTGTAAATGGTTATGGTAGAAAATTATTGAGAGGGGGGGATGATGTACGCGTGTCCATGACAGAAGACAGACTCAACAATTCTATTGCTGGTACAGTCCATGATTACAAGAACGGAACATACCTTATAACAATACCAGTTTTATGGGAAGGCACTAATTCAATCGCTATAAGTATTAACTATTTTCAAGAGGAAAGAGCAACAATCTTCCGCTGGTATCGCCAATTTGGTGTTTTATTCTACCATTATGGGCAGTTTCAGAACAAGGGAGCGGAACAGTTGACACACTGTGCTGCAACTCCCCATCTAGAAAGTTATAAAGAAATATGTAACATGACATTGTACAATGATGGTGATCCATGGTATTGCGGTAAACCACCGTCTAACAAACTAGGATGTAACGACATAGTTAAGACTTTTGATGATAGGTTTATAGATCTACCTGTAACAGAGGCCGAGGAAATGCTCTTTAAGAGGTAAGTACGTAATTTCATTTCCATGTGGGCGTTTAAAAGCCTATTTGTGTTGAAAAAAAAATAATTGAAAAAATATTCTTCAATTATTCGCCTGAATGATTTAAAATTCTAATTTTAATGCTGCGAATTAAATGTGTTACCAAATGTTACAAATGTTTTTTTGTCATGTACTTTTCTTTTTAAATAGCCCTTTATAAATATTTTTTTCTCCCCTAGGGCATGTACTAATACGTATCGTACCTTACCACAGATAAAGATTAAAACAATAGGTGAGGTTGTAATTTGTTACTGGTTCTTAACTTTCTGTTGGTGGCTTTTCTAGGGTCAAAGATCAAATTAACGATGTTTATTTTCCTATAGTCTAGGTTATCCCGACACCAGTCTAAGTAACATTGTTTAACTATCATTTTTTTACTCTTTGAGAACTTTTAGGTGGCATTTTGAAAGTATATAACACCATGGGTTGAAAGACTAGAAGGTCCAAAAGCAATGGAACAAGGGTTAAGGCTCGGAGCTGTTCACAGTTCTAGTTTATTTTCTTTATCTGGCCATCACTCAAATAGCAGCGTACTGATGTATGTGTAGATCGAAACACCTGTCTCTATTCCAGCCTTTGATAGCTATTTGGGCAGATGTCGGCTTGTGTAGAGACAAAAAATGGGCCCCGTTAAATGGAGACTTTCTGCATCTGTGCAGGTGTGGGGGTTGTAAACTTCTTTAAGTATCTCGGATCTGCAGAACTCAGATATATTTGAATATATGAATATTTTGTGGTACAGTCATACCATCATTTTCTCCCTACACCATTTATGTCACGTCTCTGGTTCTAAGTTTTTGTAACAAAACTTATTTTGCATAGACTATTTAAAACTGCGTGCGCAGCAAAAATTTCAAAGGTCACAGAGTCACGAGATACTATCAAAACAAAAGTTACGATGATGCCCAGCACTAAATTAAAGTTATCATAATGTTAATTCAATATTATGTTAGAAAAAAGGGATCTCGGGGGTTGTGGAAAATCCCCATTAAACAGGGTCTATTTTTCTGACTCTTTCCATTCGACAACTGTCAAATTCCCACCAGTGGCTTGAATAGTGGCAGATGCTTCGGACTAATGTATTTTGTTTGTAATTTTATAAGATATCCTGACAGTGTGTACTTGGTTTTAGTATGTTAATTGCGTATACGCTCGAATAACTGAACAAAAACGTTTCGATTTACATGTATATCCCAAATTGAATCGAGACGAAAGCCACTTCGTTATCTTGGAAGATGATGAATCTGGACATTATCAAATATTCAAATAATTTCAGGTGGAGAGTATAATCGAGATGATTTGCCACACTGCACCAAAGTCAACCCAGCAGAAACCTGGAACACAGACGAACCTAGCGGATATTTTCTTAATGGTATTTACTATTCAACAAAGTGTCGTTCGGGCTCCTCTCGGCCGAATATAACTCATTGCCTTCAAAATACAAGACTTATTTTACATGGTGATTCTACAGTTCTACAGTGGATAAAATTATTGAGACGGATTTCCGGTTGTATTTTAAATAAAAATTACCATGGTGGAAAATGGTACGAAGAGATGGTTTGTGAAAAAAAAGATTTGGGCTTTTCGCTGAAATTCGCTCCTCATAACATGCCCTTTTC